GAGACCCAGACTTGTAGAGTGATTTCTTGTACTCAACATTGAAATTTAGCTCCGACTTACTGAGAGATACCACTATATTTCAAATACAGTAAATATAGATGGTGTGACTTTGCATTGCTAAATATAATTTAATTCTAGAGTTCTCTTTGCGGCCAAACTTTTGCATAGAACTTGAAACTAGTGAAAAACTAAGTTATTCTGGCACTGGGTATTTGGTACAATTGTTTATGCTATGGTCCTTGTTTTGCACGTGAAGACCTAATTAAATTAATAAAGGTATCCACTTGCTAACAACTCAAACTTTTGAAATTGATGGGGACACAATTCAATGTTGATATAAGAGCTGGCACAGGTCTTAGATTCCACTCAAATTTATTGTGGCAGCTGCCCTAAGAAAAATGTGTAATTCATTTTCTGCAAGGGAGAAAATTAAATCTAATTGGGTGCCATTTGTAAGGAATCAAATTCACAAGTTTTTCACTTGTATAATGGAAGCTTTTCCAGATAAATAAAATAAAATGAGTCAGTCAACTATACCTCATTTTTAAATCAACTAGACCTCATTTTAAAATCAACTAGCTACAAAAAGTTGCTCCATCTGTCCCATTTTATGTGAAGGTGTCCGACTAGGTACAAAGTTTTGAGAAATTAAAGAAGACTTTTCACTTGTAAACCAAATATATGCAAAGTACCAGAATTGTCCTTTTAAATGTGGTGGTGAAAGTACCACGTCTTTTTAGTTTCTATCTCCTCATAAAAGAATGAATCTTTATATCAAGTGAGTCCTAGTCATTAAGGGTAATATCAGGATGCAAATATTAAATAGTTTCCACAAGGAGAAATATGTCATTCTTTTTGGAACAAACAAAAGGAAAGTGTGTCAATAAGACGGGACAGAGGGAGTACTGTTTTATTTTTTAAAAAAAGAAAAAGAACTACACAAGAAAATTGTATTTGTTCCCCCCTTGGTAGTCCAATTTGATACAAATATAGCTTATGTTAAATGGAGCTCCTTGTTGCTGACATAGAGAACTTTGCAGCATGCAGCTAGATATCTGGCTAACCAGGAATGGGTAAAAAATGATTCTCTGAAGATCGTGGAAAATACTGCTGTAATGTCTCTGCAATCCAAATTCATTTCCTTCTGGGTTCTCATCAGCTTTGTTTTTTCCTTTATGTTAGCCATGACACCTTTTGCCTTCTTTGACCTCCTTAGTCATGTTATTTCATGCTATGTTGCTGCCATTTCTCTACAGATACCAATTATAATGCTTGTGGTAGAAGTTCCACATGATCTCATTTTGTCGTCTCTATCAAATTTACAAACACCAAAAGCAGAACCAACTCAGTTGACTGTAGAAGAAGGCAATGCAGTATTTCAGGCTGATTCAACTTGTTCAGAGTCCTCATCTTCACCACAGTGGTCCAAGATGAATGAATGTAGAAAGGATGTAAAAGCAGTTCGACTTGATATTAGTTTCAAATCGCCTTCGCATACAGGATTACAGACCACTGAGCTGGTAAGTCTTGAAGAGATGACATCTGAGTACTTGTGGGATCAAATCAGAACTATATTCTCTTAATCTTCATCACTTTGATTTTTTGTTATCTCGAGCCTGTCAGCCGGTTATGATGTAGATTTATCTTATCACGTTTTTCCTTTGTTGATGATAGGTAAAAGAGCTCACTGAACAGTTTCCTGCTTCCACACCTCTTGCTTTGGTGCTAAAACAGTTCCTAGCAGATCGCAGTCTTGACCAGTCATATTCAGGCGGTTTAAGCTCATATTGTCTAGTAAGCTTTTCTATCATCAATATTTCCTAGAGAATTCAGTTTAAGTTTGAAAGGAAGTATTCTGTTTAAAGTGAATGAAGCAATGATTAGTTTAACTTACCTAAAAGTGTTTCGCTTATGTACTTGTGACCTCCCTTCATATTCAAGCGCTCTTCTCTTGGTTATGCTTAAATATATCACTCCTCCACACTGCTCTGTGTTCTTGTTTCAACCCAAACCAAGCAAAGGATGGAGGTTGGCCGGCTACTTTTATGTTTGCTTGGAAGTAGAGGAAGGAAGAGAAGGAAAGGGACAGCTTAAAGAGTTTTCAGGCCTCTTGCTTTGGTGCTGTAACAATTAGGGGATTAAAATAAGAGAGTATCATTTTCTTATTTGCCCAAAACTTAAATCAGTGACAATGAAAAGTCAAACTATTTGCCTTTCCATTCTTGTTTTCAACCCAAACCAAGCATAAAAGAAGATAATTCTGCTTAACTTTCTCCTCTATTTTCACTACCATTTTCCCTTGTTTCTATTCCTTTTCCTATTTTCCCAGCATAGGGTAAATATCTGCTCACATTGATTCATTCTAATAGTTAGATCGTTCAAGGAATGTCCTTTCCTTGATTTTACATGTAATGTTCTCACGGTCCAATTATAAATTTGGGATGGATATTGTGATGTTATCCATTTAGAGATAAGTGACTTTTGCTAACTTCCAGTTTGATGAAGTTCTAGATTATGTTGAACAAAGTACTGAATGGAGTTACCCTAGAGTTCCCATCTTGATTCATTATTTTTCGGTTGTTGAATGATGTCACATTGCGTATCAGTTCCTCCTTTTCAATTCTCCTGCAGTATGTCGCGGAAGACCAGAACAAGTAGGCATCAAGTAAAAGCTGGGTCCTTCATTCAGGCTGCAGAAAACTTTTTACTTCTTTGACTACCATTTGAGCCTCCAAGCACCTTATAATAATGGGGCAAAAAGTGGAAATTAGATAGAGGTCTCCAAGTCTAACACAAGTTTGAGCAGAAATTTTGTGGTTTGTTGGGAAGTGGAAATATCTGGAATGTGGCCATTATCTATTAAAACATTTTTATTTAAAAAACTTTTCACACATTCGTTTCAAGCAAAAGTGAAATAGTTAAGCCTTTTCAGTTCTTGTCTTCCAATTCTTGGCATCCTTATATTAGGTGTTTCGCTCCCTTGATTTCATTCTCTCTTTATGTTAATATGTGTTTGAATGGCTCTTAAATGTCTACATCATTTAATAGGTACTATTGATCACACGATTTTTGCAGCACGAACATCATCACGGTCGACTAATTGACCAAGTATGATTGAATTCTTCCCTTATTAATTTTCAGTTTATTTTTTTGGCGATTTACCCCTGTTTTATGGTTAAATATTATCATCAGTTTCAACGCCCATTGCATGTTCAACGTAGATTGTGATGATGTTTCCAATATTTTTATTATTGGGTTGCACATATTGTGATGACAACATTTATAGGACCTTTCACAGTATAAAGAAGAACCTGCTGAATAACATAGCCTGGATAAACACCAACAACTAAGAATGGAGTAGAGTGAGACATTTCTCAGCATCAGGACAACCTAGCCAGCTGAGTTTCTCATATGAGGGTTTTAGCTTGAAAAGCTTAATTATTTGATATAGTGTGACCGGGTGAATTCCATGTTCTATTTTTTCTGTTTGTGTTTTTTTTCTCTTTAACAATTAGATCATGTAGCTAAGTAAAAAGGTTGACCTTTTTAACTTCAATGAAATACAATGGCATTACTGAAACTGAAAGGGTGGAAATCACACTTAAAGATGTTATCTCCCAGTAAGCATGAGATAAGGATGAGTTTTGGTGCTACATGGTTTCCCTTTTGTGAACTTGGGGCCATAGTTTCAAATAGCAGAAACTACAGGTGCATGTCTGATGCACTACGAGAACCTTGTTGAAGTGACCACCTTCCTAAGTACATGGAGGTTTTCATCATCTTTGAGCTGCTTGTCTCATTTTAAATCTCTTTCCTTAAAAATCGCATATCAGTGCTTTTGTCTTATTTCAGAAATTAGATGTTAGAGAAAGATGAATGTATGAGCAAGCCTATCTGTTGGCTTACCTATATAACTGTAAAATAATGCATCACATTGTACCTGACAGAACAAGCCCGATCTTTCTTTCAAAAGATGTAGAACTTGATTGCTAGTATACTCAACATAAGATAGAAAAATCCAATCTCATCCTGCTCAATGCTTGTACAGCACTGCTGCAATGCAGGCTTAGCCGGAAGTCTCGCACAGAGGCTCATGCCTTTCCAACTTCATAGCAATATGATAGGTGCCCCTACAATATTATACTTGACAAGCTTGTTAAACGCTGTAGTGCCTCTATGGAAGAAGCTAACTTTGTTTCAATTCATTAAAAGTTAAGCTTCGTTTTCATTTCCTTCTGATGCATCAGAGTTATTGACTGTAACTTTCATTGATCTAATTTTGTAGAACTTGGGGAGCCTCCTGATGGATTTTTTCTACTTCTTTGGGTGAGTTTGATCTGCTTAAAAGACACATTTCCTTGGTTAATTTTTATCTCATGTTTCCCTCCTTACAATTGTAGTTAACTTATACATCTGAAGTCCCAACCACTATGACACCCCTGCTCCCCTCAAAAGGAAAAGGTGCAAAAAGGGTACCATAGAACCTCGGATGTAAAGCTTTTTTTTTTTGTCCCCAGGAATGTGTTTGATCCTCGTCAAATGCGTGTTTCAATACAGGGAAGCGGCTTATACATAAATAGAGAACGAGGGTGCAGGTATGGCTAATTGTTGAACCTCCTGATTTTGTTTGTTGCGAACCTCTTTCTGTTTTTTCATTTTCCCTCCCTTTTTATTCCCTGGTTTTATTTTTGTAGCATTGATCCAATTTGCATTGATGATCCTCTGTACCCAACCAATAATGTGGGGCGGAATTGCTTTCGCATACACCAATGCATCAAGGTTAGTTGGAATGCCTTGTGTTAAATTTTTGAGAAAATATTGGTGTTAGTAGAACTAGGAAAACTTACAAGTCGATAAAAAATGGAAAACATGTGATACTTTAGGTTTCTTACCTTTAAGTTCAATAGCATGCCATGTGTTGAAAGTATCTGAATCTTTTAAGAGGTTGAAAGCAAAGGATTTCTTCCAAGCTGGCTAGCAGACTGGGGGTGTGTTGGTTAATGAATTAACCAGACATATCCCTCAATCACCCCAAGATTTGAGGATAATTTGCTTATGTAAAGACTTGCATGAGAAAGCTCTTGGTACTTCTCTGAAATGGCATGGAATATACAACACCAACATACCTGTGTAAAGCCCACATAGTGGGGTTTGGGGAGGGTAGTGTGTACGCAGATCTTATCACTACCTTGTGGAGGTAGAGAGGCTGTTTCTAATAGACCCTCGGAAGAAATGGCATGGAATATGTTTCTATTAAAAATGTAGCATGTGTTTGTTAAACATGAAAAGTATTATATCCTCTTATGCCCGCCTTCAATGTGTAAAGTTCAGCTCTCTGTTCTTTATAAGTGACAGTGGCTGCTTTTCATTTAGTAATATATAGCTTAAAATAACAACCTTTTGGTATTCTACTATTCTCTAAATTTTTATTGCACCTTGTTTTGACGTATGGAATGAAGTTGGTTCCTAAGTCGCAATTTGTTATTTTGGGACTGAAGGTGCTACTGAATAAATTATGCTTCTCATTAAAAATTATAATCATTGAGTATTGGACTCATATAACTATTATTCTAATAAAAGTTACTTTCTGTAGGCATTTGCAGATGCTTATTCTACTTTGGAAAATGAGATACCTTCTCTTCCTAGCAACGATGAATCAAATTCAGTACCTCAAGTTAAGCTGCTCCCAAGAATTATCCCAAGCATTGGGCTTTCTGTGGGATCTTAATATCAGAAGTTTTGAATCTTGAAGGTATGTTAAGCTCTTATATTTTCTTCAGGTCAACCATAAGATGAAATGATATATGGGTTTTAAGATGGGTTTTAAGATGCCGTTGGTATCTATTTGTATCTTTTTCTATCCTCTTAGATTGAAATGATTGTTTGCATAAAATTAAAGTTTTTAACTGATAATGGCTTGGTTGTATAATAAAAAGCTTTTAAAAAGAATGTTTGTTCATTAAAGTGGTGTTTCATTATCTCCGCGGAAGTATCAAAAGGTAGTAGTAGTTCTTCCTGTATACGGGAAATCTTTGCCTTTTCTTAGTGAAATCTGATTATTTTATGAGAACAAAAGCCATTATGCTAAAAATTGAAGTTTAGTCTGTAATTCTAAATATTACATGGTATTTTGTTTGCTATTGTGCTCTTTACTTTAAAGTATCTCCATTTAATCTTTTCTGTCCTTCTTCAACTTCTTGTTAATATTTATAACTATCAAAGACTTGAAGGTCAGTCTCAATCATTTGTGTCCTCTATTTGATATCAGCTTATTGTTATCACTATCAAAGACTCAAAGGTCAATCTCAACGTGCAACTGCCTCTACCGAGTTGGACTTAATTCTACAGCCGCTGATTCTGGCGTGATTGAGTAGGATCTTCTTCTTTTTACCAACACGTTGCTTGCATTTAAAATTTTTGCATTTGCATTTTGGTATTAAAATTTATGTTGCTATCTTCTAGCAAATTGGGATTAAATGGTTTGGCATTATGAATATAGGTTGGGGTTCTGCCTTTAGAAACTGGAACTTACTTCCACTGGATGTCAGAACAAAGGAATATCTTAAGAGCTCCTCGATTCAATAGAATCAAATCTTCTCTGAACTCGACCATCAGTGTAGCATGACCGCATTGGCATGTTGGAGACAATTTACCATTACCTGGTTCATCTTGAAAGTAATTCCAAGGTTCGAAGTCTCCACTCAGTACAATTTTGATTTTCACCAATCTGGATTTATATATGAAGAACTTCTGATGCCTTGTTGAAATGAAATTGTACATATCATCATTGTGGTATCGAACTGTGCACAGCTAGAGTGAATGAAACTAAATTTGCTATTTAGAAGAGACTTTTGAATACAGAGTAATGGGGAGATCAACGAGGATGTCGCACACCGTATAGGAGCGGGGTGGTTGAAATGGAGGCTTGCTTCTGGTGTTTTGTGTGACTGGAATGTGCCACCTAAACTTAAGGGCAAGTTCTACAAAGCAGTAGTTAGACCGGCCATGTTGTATGAAGCCGAGTGTTGGCCAGTCAAGAAATCCCATGCCCAGAAGATGAAAGTAGCAGAAATGAGGATGTTGCGATGGATGTGTGGGCATACCAGAAAAGATAAGATTAGGAATGAATATATTAGGGACAAAGTGGGTGTGGCCCCTGTGGAAGAGAAGTTGAGGGAATCGAGGCTGAGATGGTTTGGTCATGTGAAGAGGAGAGACGTTGATGCCCCGGTTAGGAGGTACGAGAGTTTGCCAGTGGCGAGTCAGAGGAGCGGTAGAGGGAGGTCTAAGAAGAACTGGGGTGAGGTGATTAGGCAGGACATGGCTTTGCTCCAGCTTACCGAGGACATGTCCCTCGATAGAAAGGTGTAGAGGTCGAAAATTAGGGCGGTGGGTTGATAGACAGTCTAGAGTTTTCCTTGTCTTACTAGTAGTAGTTGTACTAGTCGGGTACCTTCCTATTCCTAGTCCCTTGTTTATTCGTTGTATTATTTGCTTACACTGTCTTATTATATTGTTGTTGCTATTGTTTCTCTATTGCTCCATTATTTTTTAAGTTCTTGAGCCGAGGGTCTTTCGGAAACAGCCTCTCTACCTTCATAGGTAGGGGTAAGGTCTGCGTACACACTAACCTCCCTAGACCCCACTTGTGGGATTTCACTGGGTTGTTGTAGAAGAGACTTTTGAAAAGTCTAGTAACTGTTCTTTCTATTTGCTTTTCTAACAACTTTGTTTCTTCTTTACTTGACGAAATCATGGATCATAAGATTTTGAACTGAAATAACACTGTCATCCTGACTTGCTCATCGAGAATCCCATGGTTCTGAGATGTTTCTATTTTCATGCATCTTTCGAGTGCTGTCTAGATTTGAATGGACAAAACATTCTGAGGCTCTATGCCATTTCTCACACAACTTCCACTTGCAGTTTCTTATCGAATCTCAATTCTTTCTTTGTCCTACTGGTTCCAGGTATCTTCACTTCACTTGCTAGAGTGTAAAGGGCCCCAAACCTTTTGTCATTTGTAGCAGGCCATTACAGGTTCTTCCGGCTTATTTGAGCTTTTAACTTGATTGACCCTGTAATCTAAAAATTCGCAGTAGCCAATTCCTTTTCCTTATTTTCATGTGACTGGAGTTGCAGCCTCAACATAAACATCCTAGAACTCTACAGTGAACTCATGGAGAAGATGGTGGAAGGAAGGGTACACTCAGAGGATCCGATGTAAGAAATACAAGAAGAGAAAAGAAGAGGAGGTATTGCCATATCCCACTTATTATTCGTTCATAACACTTTAATCTTTTGTGAACCTGAGATTCAACAGCTGTAATACCTTTTTAAGACATTTGTTTAGTCTGAAATCATGTCGTGATTGTGTACTAATATGCACAAGTCACAATTGGTGCCAGTGGGGGAGGTAGGTACAGGATGCATATTCACAGATTAGGACAAATATGTGGGTGTAAGATGGATTGCATCGGATAACAAAATGCAGATTTTCCTTGGGGATAAAGTTCAAAGGCAATGAACTATGGCAGCTTATGATTGAGAATTTTGAAAGAAAGTGTAATGGGTAGAAAATCAGTATTTGTCCAAGGGAGGAAAAATTACATTGTTGAAGTCCATTTTCTACTTTCCTAGTATTATGTCTTTATTCTTGTATACCTTCAAATGTGGCAAACAGATAAGGAATAAGTCATGAGATTTTTGCAGGAAAGAAGTAATAAATTCCATTTGGTAGATTAGAGAAAAAAGATGCTCGCACTGGGGAGGGAATGCAAAATTTACCATTCTTCAACATAATGCTTTTGGAGAGTTGCTTGTAGAGATTCAATCAAGAAACTATGCACTGTGGTCAAGGGTATTGGTTTATATATAGAGCTTGAAACAATGTATAACTTTCGGGAGACGTGACATTTTCGCATGGGGTGAGCCTATGGAAGGGATTCTGAAGTGAAGGATGGATTCACTACGTACTGGCTACACTATCGAAAGTGGAGACAGTATGCTTTTGTAAGAATTTGTGGTACGACGGAAAAACTGATTTATATATGCTGCATATGCAGAATTGTAAGACTAGGGTTAAGAATGGAGGACAAGGGAATTATGTGGGACATGAGTGTTTAAAGGAGACTTACTAGATTGCAAGCGAGATGAAGTGGAGGAGTTTCTATGAAAAGATCTGCAGTTATGGGAAATGATGGAGGACAGAGATTGTGTGAAGGAGATTATGGATGACAACATTCATGGTGAAATCACACTCTACCTAGAGCTATTAGAAGGAAGGGAAAGAGGAGATTTGGGAAAAAGCCTTGAAGATGAGGGTACCAAAATAATAAGTTTGTTTTTCAAAAAAAAAAATAGCACGCAATTTGTGATGCATTATATATAGCGGATAAGCTTAAATAGATGAGACAAATAGCTGGCTTTACCTCTCTTCTATGGACCTTGGTCTACTCTGGTGAATAATCTTGATTATCGCTAAGGATGTTCAATGAGACATTGTCAACTGGAGATTAGAGAATATCGGCATTGAGAAGTATGTGATTTGGAGCACAACACTGTTATGTCTCTTCTGGCTTGCGTGGAATGACAGTAGGAGATTGTTCCATAATAGCAGGAACGACGCAAGAAGTGTGAAATGTTCTTTCCTTTTCATGTATATTATTGTTGTAAAAGGAGAGGTCCTTTCTATGTAGGAAGTTGGGCCAACTCAAGGCTTCAGATAATTGTGTTCAACCACAAAATCAGTATGTAAATACTTTAAAGACTAGCTTAATGTACTTAAAATGAGATTTACTTGACTTAAAGGATTCCGAGCCCATAAAGGGGGTCTTACTCCTGAATTGTTCTAATGCACTCTTTTGGTTACTAGATTGGTACTTGTATTAGATCAACACTCATGGGGCTGTAGGCTGAAGTGCTGGGACCATGTCATATGATTTCATCCTATCTAAAGTACTTTGCATAGCCATGTTAAGGTGACTCGATCATAATCGATGTCAGTCATGGTACTCTCCTAGTTTAGACCAGCGGTATAATTAAGGCTTATGTTAACTAATAATCATGTTGATTGATGTTGAACAGAATCTGCAGCGGAGACTGGTGATCCACTTTATTGGAAAGAAAGAGATTTGCATAAACCCATTATACAGATTCTGAGCTTGCAAAGACAACTTGGCCTTCTGATTTATGGGTAGGAACGCATTGTCTGCTCGCTCCATAGAGTAGAGTATTCTCTCTTTCACTGTTTTATTCTTTTCCTCTTGTCTTCGTTTTTTGTTTTCCTCCCTCTCTCCTCCTGGGGCCACCTCCCTGTGTGTTGATATTAAGAGTCCATTTCCTAATTTTCCTTCTTGTTTTTGTTTCACATATGTTTCAGTTTAGAAGATCACAAATAATAGGGTTTTAAAGTGATCTCACTTTGTGGCAATGCAGGTGCAAGAAGGGGATCCTTCATTTATGCATATGATCGGATTAAATATAAATGAAGGGAAAAAAGGAGAGAAATTTCTGTATATACCCATTAATTTTATTGTCTTTATCAGTTTGTGATGATCAGGGGCGGAGCTAGAGTGCCGAAAGCGGGTTCGACCGAACACTTGATGACTGAGCTATATGTCACAATATTCGGGCATATCCCTTTGCGTCTCATACTCCTTAATTTATCAAGTAATAACTCTGGCTTATGAGCCAGACTATAGACATGAAGGAGTACAGAATAATTGGTCACATCCCAGTAGCTTTAGTTCGAACCTTGTATTTGTCTTAAAAATTCTATTGAATACGTATAAATTATTAATTTAAAACTCAGTAACTTCAAACGATTAGAATTCCGAACTCATAAGTTTGAAATCCTGGCTCCGCCTCCGGTGGTAATGATAACAATTAAGCTGAGCTGGTCCTCTTAAAGCTTAAGAGTGGAATTCTTGGTATTCTGTTTGGACTAAGATGAGTCCAACTTGAAGGGAATAGACTTAAAAGATTTATATACCGAGCTCAACTAGTTTGACATTGAGGCAATTGTACTTTTGTTGTGTATTCTCTTCAGTGACAAATAATGTAATAATTGCTTGGTGACTATTAATTACCAGTACTCGTTCAAATCAATAGGATAAAACAATAATTAGATATTTTAACTCTTTTAGGTATGCGATGTTCATCTTATATTTGTGTCCATTTTTCTCACTCGCCTTGAGCTCATTTTCCTATTTGATTTCTTATTATCTATTTGTCTTTCCAAGAATTGAACAGCCACGTTATGCGTAGATTTATTAATATTGCAGGAATTTCATCAACTCCAAAGTTTCTAACTTACATGAATTATCAAAAAAATCTAATTCCTCTAAAATTATTTGATTTTGCACTAAATGATGCGTTTGAAATTTTATCAGATACATTCTTTCAAAAGTTTTTAAAGCCTACAACTCCAGATTGCATTCCTATTTGTCCACTTTTACTTTATTTAAATATTTCATCTCAGATAGTGGAAATTCCTCAACAAGGAAAGCAAGATACATGGCTTCCTTTCTCTCGAATATGATTTACAGGAGGAAGATATTTATCAAACAAAAAAGGGTAAATCATCCATGTCTTCTAAAGGTACAAGTACTATTCTAGTGGCTAGAGTTATGTATAGATCCATTCAACCTTTCCTACGGAAGTTGTGGTTGGGGTTTTGGACATTAACACCTAATCAGATTCATCTGTAAAATAATCAGTACACCTCTTCTTTAGCTTCTCTTGGAGATCCAACTGCTTGGGTAACACTAGCTCGATTCTCCGACCTGACTCTGAAAAGTATCTCTCAAGCACCATCTGCAATACAATAAAGCTCAAATCCTACTTTCAATCTATGTAAAAAAACATGTAAGGGAGAAGTACAAAAAAAGACAGATGAATTCAACTGTATACATACAGCAGCAGCATAGGCATCCTGTTTCCCTTCACGAGCAGATTTTCCGAGGCCCCTAAAACATTGTCACGCTATTCATTTTGGATAACTTCTTATAACAGACTGTATGAAGGATTACCCTATCTTCTCATATGCACTTGACAATCAATTTATTAGCAAGACAGGTGGACAAACACTATTCATTCATTCTGTTACTCACATAACAGAACGAATTGAAAGAGAATTACTTGCTTCTTGATAACTCATTTGATAAATACAGAGACAAGTCGAGAGGAAACCATTACCTATCAACCATGTAGCTCATGGCCTCTATTGTTGTCCCATACTCTTCCTGCAGATATACTCTCCAACCCCTAATCACAAGTAAGGTTCTTATGAACAAAAAAAAGGTCTCCAACACAGCGTAGAATCTCCCTCCCTCACCACTTATAAAATGAATTTAAACATGACACAAGAGAAATGACTATAACAGATGAATTTAGTATCAATAATTTGTAATACAAAAGCATACTAGCTCAAAGGTTTCTGAAAATAGGAAGTCAACTAGTAGTCTAGAGTGTAAAGCATAACAAGCGTTCAACCATTAATCTCCCGCAAGAATTCTTTTGAATATTCATTTTCATGCTCCCTGCCTGAACGCGGGATACTTTGTGCACCGGACTGCCCTTTTTTTTTCTTTTTTTTTTTTCATTTCACGCAACTTGACACATAATCTTCAGGATTTCCATAAGATTACAGTTGATAAAAAGTAAAGGCAGTGACAATAGTAGTGTTTCTGAGATGAATTGGAATAGGTAAAAAGCATATTAAAAATCCTACATAAATAATTAGTACCTCTCAGCAGCTCGAACAGCAAGCCTACCAGCAACACTTCGAACTTTGTTAGATTGTGGAGTTTCCCTTCCATCACTTGACAAAGGAAGCCCAATTATAAACTCATCCACTTCCTAACTTCCCAAATAGAACCACACTCTCATGAAACTCCAAAATGCTGGGATTAATTCTTAAAAAATTAAAAATGAAAGAAATACTAAACATATATTCAAGAATCACATCAATTATCAATACCCAGTTGATAAATTACCATAAAAATTAAATCTTTCTACATTAGACATAAAAGAGCTGTGTCTTTACCTGTTTTAGGGCAATATCAAGAATTCGAAGTTCAAGCTTTTGTCCTCTCAATTCAAGAACCTAAAAATTCAATCCAAATAAAAATTCCAGTATGTGTTTTTTTTGCTTTGCGGATGAAAGTTGGGGTTGTTACCGTTAAAGGTCGAAAGTTGAAGCCTTTACTAATGGCAAGGCCAGTACGGGCAAGCCCCAAATCCACTCCAAGACTGAAACCTCCTCTCCATGTTGAATCTCGCTTTCGCCGTATCGCATTTGGGGGAATTTCCTCCACCGATAATGCCTGAAATCTTGAAGTTAACCGCACAGAGTTACCGGCGGTCGGCCGAAATGCCACCGGCGGCGAGGCTAATAGATGTCCCATTCGAAGATGTTCTTATTTTCGGGTGGGAAAAAGAAAGATTGTCTACAGCTTATTTTTCTTATTGGGGACTGTATGCTAAGAAATTAATTAAAGTAAAATAAAAATGAAAAAAGAAAATTACTTAAGTAAGGTGCCACATGTTTCTCCCTTTCTTTTTCTCTGGAAAATTACTTAAGGCGCCACATGTTTCTCCCATCTTTTCTCTTAATAATAATGTAGCTAAGGGATAAATTATTGAGATTTTGTTTGGCCAAAGCCAACAATATGTATCATGAGTTAGTGATAATAAACTTCGATATACGACATCTCAACTTAGAAAAATCTCATAAAAATCTCTTTAAAATTTCAAGATACAACTATAAAAAAAAGTGGCAACGTCTATTTAAGTTAAATTAATACTTTAAAATTTAACAGATAGTTTGTAGAAGAATATCTTTTTTATACACCATTCAAGACTCAAACTAAGCATAAAGTCCAACTCTCAATCAAATACAAGCTAGTTAATTCTTCAAAAAAAATCTTCCAAGTTCAATTCAAGTATCAAATTTAATAAATTATAAAACTTGGGCATAAACACCCACAAAATAGTCAATAAGTCAAATAATTCACTAAGATTAAGTTACCAAAATAATAGTGTCATGATTCATATGATACACTTAGATATGCACTCTTGAATTATTAAGTTTATTTCTCACATATAATATCCCAAGACTCTAGTTTTCCAGATACCATCCCAATACAAAAATGATAGAGAAGAGAACCACTTTATTTATAAAAAATGACCATGAATGTTTATTTTATGCATTGTTTGGGTGGTTGTTACATATCGTTTCATAATGTATCGTATTGTATTGTATTATATTGTATTGTATCATTTAATGAATATAATGTTTGGATAGATTGTGTCGTTTGACTTCGTTTTATGATATCACACACCGGCAATATGAAGAATAAACTTGCAATATTATAAAGAAATTATGATACGGTATATAAAAAGGTAGGGTAAATAATAAAATAAAATTGTTTAATAATAATGAAGGGTGTGATTGAGAGAAAAAGACAAGGTAACGACGCGACCACACCAAATCGGTCATTACATAAAGTGGTACATTTCGTCGTTATGTAATGACGGATTTAACAATACGATACAATTAAATTTAAGTAACAATCAAAACAAACATCGTATTTAAAGTAACAATACGATACAATACAATAGGTAACAACCATCCAAACAAGCCGTAGTCTCGCCATCTTTCATTGTGTATCTTATAGGAGTAATTATTTTCTCTTTTCTTTCTTGTTTGTATCTTTGTGAGAAATTGTTTTTGAAATAATATCTAATGGCACCAAGTGTGCAGCGGTTAATGAAGTCTAATAAAATTATGTGAAATGCGAATTTAGGTTCTGTGATGATCTAAAATAAAATTTTTAAATTTAATAATTAATTATATATTCTAAAACCTCGAAAAGTACTATTTATTATTACTCGACTTACGTGCGCAGTCCGTAAAATTTTTCGAAAAGTTTTTATGCGAAAAATGAATTAAAATGTGAATTAGAGCTTTAAATTTAACTGAGTTGACCTTGGTCAATATTTTTAGCAAATGGACTCGGATCACTATTTTGATAATTTTAGTAGGTCCGTATCGTGATTTGGGACTTGGACGTATGCCCGAAATCAAATTTCGAGATCCCTAGCCCGAGATATGGAATTTTGAAGAAAATTTAAAAGTTTAAATTCAAATAGTGACCGGATGTCGAATTATGTGCAAACGACCCCGAAATAAAATTTTGATGATTCCAACATCTCCGTATAGTGATTTCGAACTTAGGAGCGTGATCAGAATTTTATTTGAAAATCCGTAGTGAAATTAGGCTTGAAATGGCTAAAATAGGAATGTAAGTTGGGAAGTTTGACCGAGGAGTTGACTTTTTGATATCGGGGTCGAAATCTACTTCTGAAAATTGTAACAGCTCTGTTATGTCATTTATGACTTGTGTACAAAATTTGAGGTCAATCGGACTTGATTTGATAGGTTTCGACATTGAATGTAGAAGTTGGAAATTTTTAAGATTTATTAGGTTTGAATCTATGTGTGATTCGTGTTTTTAGTATTTTTGGATGTGATTTGAAGACTTGACTAAGTTCGTATGATGATTTAGGACTTGTTGGTATTTTCGGACGGGGTCCCGAGTACCCCGAGTGCGATCCGAATCGAAATCGGATCAATTTTTGGACTTAGGCAAATTCTGAAATTTGCAGCTTCTGATGTCATCGCATCTGCGAAGGGACTGACCGCAGGTGCAGACTCGCACAAGCGAGCTGTGGCTCGCAGAAGCGGATGAAGGGCTGCCCAGTTGGAGCCGCAGATGCGGCTCATGTTGTGCAGAAGTGCTTGCGCAGAAGCGAGAGGAAGGGCGCAGGTACGGGCAGGTCTACAGGTGCGATGGAATTTTCCGCACCTGCGAAGGCGCAGATGCGGTTCAAAGCTCGCAGAAGCGAAGGCAGCTGGGCTAAGCAATTTACGCATATACGATATTTCACCGCAGGTGCGAGTATTTTGTCCGCAGGTGCGAAAGCGCTGACCAGATTACAAAAACAGAGGGGTTCCGATATTTTTGTCATTTGGACATTTTCAACACGGTTTTGGGCAATTTTTCAGAGAGAATTCACGGAAAAACTTGAGGTAAGTCACATGTGATCATTGTTAGTCAATTATATTGGATTATCATTGAATATTTCGAATTTATTACATATTTTTGAGGTGAAATTAGAGGATTTGGGCCTAGGGATTTCAAAATGAGAATTTGAGATTTGGAGGTCAAGTTGATGTCGGATTTTTGTGAAAATGGTATGGTTGGACTCGTAGTTGAATGGGCGTTCATATTTCGTAACTTTCGCCGGATTTCGAGACGTGGGCCCCACTGGCCATTTTTGAGTCAATTTCGGATTTTATTAAAAAATATAATATTTTCTTATGGAATTGATTCTATAATTTTTGTTG